AAATGATACAATATGATAAAATATGTGACCTTTCTCTCTGGCTTCTTTCACTTAGCATTGTTTTCAAGTTTCATCCATGTTTTAGCATGTATCATGACTTAATTCCTTTCTATTTGAAAATAATAACCCATTGTACCTATAGATCCCTGTTTATTCTTTCATCAGTTGATAGAAACTTGGTTTGTTTGCAGGTTTTTACTGTCATGAAAAAATGCTGCTTATGGACCTATGAGTGCACGTGTAAACATAAGTTTTCATTTCACTCGGATATATATCTACACATGGAATTGCTGGGTCATATGAAAAATTTGTATTTAACATTTTGATTAATTGCCAGAGCTTTCCAAAAGGACGGTGCCATTTTACTAGCCTGTCAGCAACATATAAGGGTTTGCATTCCTACCCACCCAGGCCAACACCTGCTGATTGGAGGAGAGGGTGTGTCTGTTTGTTTTCACCCATCCTAGCGAATGTAAAGTGATATCTCGTGGTTTTCCTTTGCATATTTCTAATGTCTAATAATATTGAACATATTTTTGTGTGTTTGCTGGCCATTTTTATATCTTCTTTGGAGAAATAAAACTCAAAATCTTTGCTTGTTTAAATTAGGTTGACTTTACAATTGAGTTGTAAGCATCCTGTTTAAGTATTCCTGTACCAGCTCTTATCAGAGATAGGATTTGAAAATATTTTCTCCAGTTCTGTGGGCTTTTTAAAAAATTTTTATTTTCTTGATGATTTCCTTTGAAGCACAAACATTCTTAATTTTACTGAAGAGTAAGGGATGGGTTTTTTAAATTATTATTTCGTATGCTTTTGTGTTGAATCTAAGAAAATATTGACTACTGAAAGTTGTGAAGATTTACTCCTGTGTTTCATTCTAAGAGTTGAATTGTGCTAGCTTTTACATTTAGATCGTAAATCATTTTGAATTAACTTTTGCTTGTGGTATGAGACACGGATTCAAATTCATTTTTACGTGAATATCCAATTATTGTCCAAGCACTGTGTGTTCGCAGTTTGTTGAAAGTCTATTATTTCCCATTGAATTATCTAAGCACCCATGTTGACATTCAAATAAGTACATTGATTATTATAAATAATGTTTGAACTCTCAACTTTGTTCCATTGAACTAATTATCTCTCCCATGCCAGTACCACACTTTCCTGACTTTTGTAGCTTTGTTAATGTGGATTTAAATAGAAAAATGTAAATCTTTCAACTTTACTTTTCTCTTTCAAGATTATTTGCTATTCTCGGTCCTTTGGGTTTCCATTTGAATCTTACAATCAACAAAGATGACAGCTGAGATTTTGAAAGTAATTGTGTAGAATCTGCAGATAAGTCAGGAAGTGTCATCATCTTAAAAATCCATGAATGTGGAGTGCCTTTCCATTTATTTAGACTTTTGTTGATTTCTTTCAATTATGTTTTGTACTTTTCAGCATATAAGTCTTGTGCTTATTTTGTTAAATTTATTTTCCAGTATTTTATCTATTTGATGATATTGTAAATTGACTTGTTTTCTTAATTCCATATTTAAATTGTTCATTGCTTGTGTATAGAAATACAACTAATTTTGCATGTTAATTTTATGTCCTGCAACCTTGCTAAACTCTTTTGTTAACTATATTTTTTGTGAAATTCTAAAAAATTTCTATATGCAAGATATGTCTTCTGAAAATAGAAATACTTTTTTTTGGCTAGAATCTTCAGTACATTCTTGAATAGAAGTGACAAGAGGAGACATTTTTGTCTTCTTTTGATTTTAAAAGAAAAGCATTTAGCCTTTCACCATTAAGTGTGATGTTAGCTGTGATTTTTCGCGGATATATTTATCAGACTGAGGATGTCGCCTTCCATTCCTAGTTTTTTGTTTGATTTATTATGCGGATATTGGATTTTTTTCACACAATTATTCTGCTGACTTAGTTATTACATTCATTGATTTTAACACATTAGAAACAACTTTGCATCCCTGAGATAAATGTCACTTGGTTATAATGTATAATCTTTATTATATGGATTCCGTTTGCTATTATTTTGATGAGGATTTTTGTGTCTATATTTGTAATAAACAGAGGGTTGCAGTTTTCTTTTGTGATATCTTTGGTTTTCTTATCAGGTTGATATTGGCCTCAACAAATAAGTTGAGAAATGTTTCTTCTTCTTCCATTTTTGTAAGAGTTTCCAAAGGATTGGTATTCATTCTTTAAACATTTGGTAGAATTTGTCAGTGAAACCATGTGGGCCTAGGATGTATTTTGTAGGAGGATACCAAATTAATAATTCAATTTTTACTGTTATTAAGTCCTTCTAGTAAATTTTTAAATTTCAGTTAATGTGCATTTTAGCTACAAAATTTCTATTTGATTCTTTTTATGAATTTTATCTCTTCATTAATATTCTCTATTTGATGATTCATTACTATCATACTTTAATTTGTTAGACACAAAATATTTTAGTTCTTTGAGCATATTTATATATAATTTGATTATGTTTTTATTTATCTGATTTGGTCTTTGTCTAGTAAGTCCATCATCTAGACTTCTTAAGAGAGTTTTTTTTTTTTCTTTTATGTATGAGCCATACATTATGTTCCTTTGTGTCTCATATTTTTTTTTTATATTGGGCATTTTAGATAATATAATGTGGCAACTCTGGAAATCAGACTTACCTCCTCCACACATTTTGTTGTTGTTGCATTTCCTTGTTGTTACTGTTGCTGGGGTGTGTGTGTGTGTGTGTGTGTGTGTGTGTCTTTCCTGGGCTAATTCTGTAAAGTCTGTATTGCCTATAATGTACCATTGAATCTCTGTATGGTTAGTTTAGTGGTCAACTAATGACTGGACAGAGATTTCTTTAAAGACATTGAATCAATGAGGATTTCCTGCCTGCCTGCCCCCCACTTTGCCGAGGGGACCATGTATGAGGACATGCCTTCAGTTCTCAGGAAAGCAGGTTGCACTTCTTCCTTGGCTTTCTCTTCCTATTTTTAAAGCACTTAAAAATCAACCAAAGTTGAGCATTTACGGCATTTTTAGGTATTCCTGGTTATGTGCACAGCTCTGCACATGTGTATGGCCTTCTAAATCTCTAGGGTTATATTAGAGCTTTGTAAAGTTCACTATGAGCATTTTATTTCCCAGATCATTTTTTCAAGGTTTTTTTATCCAGCCTCTTGTTGTCCCCAGTTGGTATTGCTGCCTCAGAAAGCTGCAATGCTCAACAACTGCCACTGATTTTTATATATATATAAACTTTCTGGGGACAGAGCTCTTCCCACTGAGCAAACTCTAGGATGGATCAAATTACAGCAAACCCTATGAATGAGACTTTTCCAGGTAACTTTCGGACAATTATCTGGACATGGGGCTTTTTGAAACCTGGTCTGCACCGTCCACCGTCCAATGTCTGTTTGACTGCTGGTTTTCATAGCTCCTGTGATGGCAAAGTTGTTGGTGTTCATGAATGCTGTAAGACTGGGGAGAAGTGCCTGGTAACAGGGCATTTTAAAACACCACAAGGTTCTCTGTGATCACTGAGATTCAACCATTGTTCTGAAATAAACACTTCTCAGGTTGCTATCTTTTGCTAATTTCCAGAGTCCTAAAAAAATCGTTTGGCATTTTTTTAGTGTTCTCGTTGTTTTTATGTAAGAGTAGACTTTTGAAGGTTTTTTACTCTGTCATGCCTGAACACACAGCATTATCTTTTAAGGTCAGAAGCAAAACGGAAACATCTGAATACTTATCAATAACAGAAAGGCTAATTAAACATGGTATATCTCATGTAATGGAATAATATACTGCGGTTACAAAGATAGAGATAGAAAGTATAAGTTTGTGATGACGTAGGAGTGACAAGTGAAGAATCATTTTGTATAATAATAGTTACTCGTGTGTGTGCTCATGTGAGTGTGTTTAAGCAAAGAACAAGATCTGAAACTAACTCATTTCACTGTTAAGTAAATACTAGTTTGCTTTTAGGAGATGGTAAGCCTGAAGTGGTAGCAGATAACCTAACTCCAATCCTGCCAAAAGAGAAAATGTGCAGAATTTTTACTTTGTTATTTGTGTTTTTCTGTTTTCCAAATTTACTATATATTTCTTTTGTATTAGAAATAATAATAATAAATTTTATTTAAGAAATATTGAGGTTCTGCTTCTTGGGATCCAAAAATCTCAAATTGACTCCACTTGTGCTAGAAAAACTGACCTTCAAATCATCTACATCCCTTTCCCTTTTCTTCCAAACACTGGGTGGCAACACACTCACCAAAAATTTCAGTAGCAAATACTTTAAGCAGTGAAGTGCCTTTTGGTTTAGGGACTCCCTTGAGGATCTGATGAAAACCATGTATTTTCTTTCCCCAAAAAAGCACATATATGCACTAGTTTGCCTATAACTTTCAAGTATTTAATTAAATTTATTAATCAAGTTAAGAATCATGAACAACATATCTTCCCTCAATATGAGGGCATGTGGAGAAAGAGCAGATATCTGGGAACTTCAAGCCTCTATATTTATACAGAAGATAAAAGAACGTTCCGAGTGGAAATGACTTGCCCAAGGTCATGCTGCTAGATTCCCAACTCCCTGGTCAAGTTTCTTCCCACCAAGCTGCCTTGAATTATGGAACAAATGACATTCTCTTTAGGTTCCCCAAGATGCTTACATGCCCTGTGCCAAAGACAAGCTCTCACTATTATGGCTTCTCTGACTCTGACACTCATACCTGACCCCAAGGATCCTTGGAATGGGAAGATAGAAGGAACCTTGTCCTGTCATACAACAAGCACTTATTAAATATAGGTGGTCACACTGTGGCCATCCTGATAAGAAGCACCAAGGAGGTTACAGAGAAAGTCCAAGACACAAGATCGACAATCCAGCTGCAAAGACAGGACTGGGTCACAACATGATTCTGAAGCATCCAGATGATACATGGAGTACAAACACTGGTCCAAAATAGGAGAATGGAGAATCTGATGTGGGTATGAATGAAAAGGCAAGACTCCATGGAAATGGAGAGGTAACCAAAGGATGTGTAGAAACTAAAGAAAGGGGTGAAAGAATAGATGTTATTGTGGATGTGGAGGGGGAGGGTAACACACAAGAAAAGGCAAGGAGAAGGGAAGGAGTAGAAAGACAGAGAAAGAGAAGATCAAGTCTGATAGGATAGTGGTTTCCTCCCATGCCTCTCCAACCAGTCCCCTGCAAGCAGCCCAGGTTTGGGATCCCTATCCCTGGACCAGCCCCAGAAACTAACCGTGCCTTGTTTCTGTTTGACTCTTCACAGCTCCCCTTCGCTGAAGGCCTGTACCACTTTTATCACAATGGCCTTGCAAATGCCAAGAGAAGACGAAGCCTGCACCACAGGCAGCTGCTGGAGAGAGACCCCAGGGTGAGTTTTCCCTGGAAACCTGCTTCCCAGCCTCTGCTGCCATAGCTGAGCCCACTGCAGGAAGGTAGAGGGGCTAGCAGGGGACTTTGTATTAATGGCACTTAGTGTACTGTGATGGGCTCAATGAATGCTTTGCAAAGTGGATGCTCTGCTCCTCAGTCTTGTGCATAATGAGTCATCCTAGGCCCCTTTATAGGGCTTAGGATGACGGGGGCACAGGGATACCACCCTTTTACTGACTGTCTTGCCTTGAGTGAGGGTGAGGACTGTAGGTTGCCTGGGACATGCTTTGGCCTGTGATGGATGAGAAGACTCCATGCCATTTAGTGAGTCATTTTATGGATGATTTCTACTGGTGAATCCACATACTGAGTCTGCCATGCCTCATATTGTGAGTGGGAAAAAAATGACCAGAAAGTGATCTGCTAATGGCAGGCAGTAGACCTCAATATTCATGCATGATTGCGGCCACGAGACCAAGTCAGCTTTTCTTCTCGTCCTGTATTTTCTAGTACTGATCTAATTTACCATCAACTGTCCTCTTGATGCTCATGACCCCATTTTCCCATCCCCCATCTTTACCCTACTCCTGGACACCGGATCACAGTTCCTATTCCTCCCCGACAGCTCAGATTCAACTTTCCCTTAACCAAACATCTTATCTTAGCCACAAAGTAGTTTCTCTCCCATGTTTCCACTCCTTGCTTTCCAGAGTGGGAACTTTTGTAATCACACCTCCCACCATCCATCCCCCTGTACCTATACATTCACCCAGTTGGGTAGATTCTGATTTCTCTTATGCAACTCACTAAGAGGAAAAGTATGTAACAATCTAGGCAAGTTGCTGTCCATACACAGAAGGCAGCGTAACCTCTACCCCAGGACTCTCAGAGACGAGTTAATGAAAAGTGTGGCAGATGCATGAATTAGGGATTTGCAGGAGACCTCTTCTGAGCCAATGGAATCTGAAAGCTCATTCTTGTGGGACTTTTCATGGGAATATTTCCCTGAATTTAACTGGGGCTTTAATTAGGAATGCATATGAAGCAGGCTCCTCAGCAGATGCCCAGCTGACAGACCATAAGCAATTTCCCTTTAACTCCTCAAGCCAGGGATTCTCACCTTCCCAGAAGTGGACTTTATCTTTGCTTTTGCAGTGGCAGCCAAGCTGCCTGTGCTGCTGAGACAACGTCAGATATTCTTAAAAGACCTTGTAAGAAAGTATATAAATAAGAGAAAATAGCCAGACAAGGTGGCTTATGCCTGTCACCCCAGCACTTTGGGTGGCAGGGGTGAAAGGATCGCCTGAAGCCAGGGGATCGAGACCAGCCTAGACAACTTGGCAAGACCCTGTCTCAACAATATACAAATAAAAAAATTAGTTACAGAAGCAACATCACAACCTAAGGAAGATGGTCTCTGCTCTGTGTGATAACAGCCTTGGTGCTGGCTGTACCAATTAATTGCCTGGGGATTTCCTTGGGCAGCCGTGTGGGTAGGGGTCTTGCCTGTCTCATTTGTGAGTCCAAGGTGGGTACCTGTGGACAAAGTTCACTCTGGTACACTATGACATGGGTTTTCTGCACACTTCAACCATGCCCCATAATCTTGCCCTTTATGGTCAATTGTCTTCCTTCATTCCTTTCTTTCTTTCTTTCTTTCTTTCTTTCTTTCTTTCTTTCTTTCTTTCTTTCTTTCTTTCTTCCTTCCTTCCTTCCTTCCTTCCTTCCCTTTCTTTCTTTCCTTCTTCCTGTTTGATTTGGAGTCTCACTCTGTCATCCACTGAAGTTACATGCTCACAGCTACCACAACCTTGACCTGTTGGGCTCAGGCAATCCTTCTACCTCAGCCACCCTAATAACTGGGACTAAAGGTGCACACCACCATGCCAGGCTAATTTTTTGATTTGTATATTGTCAAGACAATTTGTCCAGGCTGGTCTCGAACCTTTGGGCTCAGACAATCCTCTTTTCTCTGCTTCCCAAACTGCTGGGATGACAGGTATGAGCCACCATGCCTGATGTTTTCTTTTATTTATATGCTTTCTTAAAAATCCCATTGGCTTCTCTTCTTCCATGATTAAAGGCATCGTCCCAAGATTACCCAGAGAAAACACACATAAAAGAAACTGGGGGCAGAAGGAAAGAGATGATTGAAAGGCTTAAGGAAGTAAAACTGAGAAAGAGTAAAACTCAAAAGCCATTGTTTGCATCAGAGAGACTATTTGGAACCACTAGACTAAGATTATCTCATTCTGGGACTTCTTGAAATGATCTCTGAAATGTTGAATCTTAAGTGTAGAGTGACTTTTTTTAAAAAAGAAGAAAATGAGATGGGTTGAGGAATAAAAAAGATCAGACAGTGGCGATTTTTTAATTATTTATGTATTTATTTAGAAACAGGGTCTTCCTCTGTCACTCAGGCTTGAGTGCAGTGATGCCATTATAGCTCATCGTAGCCTCAAACTTCTTGCCTTAAGTGATCCTCCCACCTCAGCCTTCCAAGTAGTTGGGACTACAGGCACATGTCACCACACCCAGCTAATTATTTTATTTTTTGTAGAGATACAGTCTCACTACATTGACCAGGCTTGTCTCAAACTCCTGGCCTCAAGAAATCCTCCAACCTTGGCTTCCCCATAAACTGGGATTATAAGAGTGAGACACCATGCCCAGCCCTAGACACTGGTGACTCTAATCATTTGTCTTTTTCCTCAAAATATTATTTATTATCACTAAAAAAGTGTATTATTTTACCCTTCATTATAAGGGTCTTGGTAGCCAGCTGTCTTTATCTGGTAGAGGTAACCATCTGCCTTGCCCACAAAAAAACAACATAAAATAGCCGGAAAATTGAAGAAGCTCAAATCTCCTGTATCTTTTCCTCTGTCTTCAAGGTTAAATGTCAAGAATATTGTCAATAATAAACTCATTCTAGGAAAGGAAGTGAAACACACACAAAAAAAAATCTCAAAAATCTTTGCAAAAGGAAAAAAAAACTGCTAATGGTGACTGTCTTGTTCCAAAATATTAGATTAAGGCCTGAGTCTTTCCTGAATTATGCTGTTGTGGCTGTCTAATTTTAGCATCTGCTGATAGCAATATATAGCAGTAACTATTTGCAAACAGAAATTGTTGACGATGAACAGTACAAAAGTTGCTATATAAGGATTCTGCCCTGTGGGCTTACAGACATTAAATGAATATCCCACTTCAAGGGTTTGCAAGCGCATTCAGACAAGCTGCAAAAAGGAAAAATAAATCAAGCATAGAAAGTATAGGAAGGAAATGAGAAGCAGAGTGGCCAGAAGAATTGTTGATCCAGTTTTTTGTCTCTTGTGTGGATGTCACAAGTTCCACTTGTGAACCAAAAGCTGAAGAGTAAATTGTTTTGTTATTCTCTGAAATGTCTCGTCTCCTAGAACTACTAACTTAAACCATGCTGGCAGCCCCATCTTCCTTCTCCTTCTTGTCTCTGCCTGACTTCTAGGTCTCTGTCATTCATTGTCCCAGGCTTGTGAAGCGGAATATAAAGGCCAGGGAACCATGCACATAAGCGCAGGCTGGTCTGAGCTGCTCCAGGCTTCCAGGGCTGGATCTTCCTAGGTCGCTTTCAGGCTAAAGAAGCCGCTGGGATCTGCTACCAACCCAAGAATTAAAAGAGAAAAAGATGGAGGGCCAAGGTAGTTTTTTGTTTTGTTTTGGCTTCAGAACAGAAATTTGAATAATTTTGGTCCCCCATTTGCAACTAATTTTTATGTTTAAGGGAAAAACAGGAAAAAAAAAGACTAAAAAGGGATTATTAAGTGCTGCTTTCAAGATGTTCATCTTTCTTCCTCAATATGCAGGACAATAGCTAAGAAAACAGATTCTGATGTAGACTATTTTTTGTTTTTAATTTTTATTTTATTTTATTTTATTTTTTGTTGTTGGAGTCTCACTCTGTCGCCCAGACTGGACTGCAGTGGCTGCTCCCGGCCACCACAGCCTCGACCTGCTGGGCTCCGGCGATCCTTCCGCCTCAGCCTTCCAAGTAGCCGGAATTACAGGCATGCGCTACCATGCCCGGCTGATTTTTTTGATTTATTGTAGAGATGAGGTCTCACTGCCCAGGCGGGTCTCAAACCCGTGGGCTCAGGCAATCCACTCACCTCAGCCTCCCAAAGGCGAAGGATTACAGGCTGAGCCATTAATTTTTATTTTAAACATGTGGGATACAATTCAGTGTTAGTTATACAAATGGTCATTATTCAGGTAAATTTTGGGTCTCAGTTAGGTCCCGCTTCACTTAGTTTGAGATCAGGACCCTTATTGATGAAATGTGTCCCTCTTTCCCTAGAAGTTTCCCACTACTGTCAATCCCTTTCTTGTAGTATTATGTTAATTGTTCAGGGTCCACTTATAAGTGGGAACATATGGTACTCAGTTCCTTGCTTCTGTGATAGATCACCGAGTATGATGTAGACTGTTTTGAAGGTGTTCTCTTGGCTTCCCAATTCTTTCTGCTGAAAGGTTAACAGGCTGCTGAGTATCATCATTTAGATACTAAAAATCAAATGTTGCATCTTGTTTATTTCTGTAATATCTTTGCATAGCACAGTTTTGAGTACATCGTAGATGCTCAGAAAATGACTGCCAAATGAATGGATAAATAACTATTTTTCTTCATAATTTTAATTCATGAAATAGTATTGTTTTTCTTATCTTATATTTTATTGTTATCTTAAAATGTGCATCCACGTGGAAACAGAAGTATCGGTTAGTCTTTTCTTTAGCTTCTCTTTTAAACACATTCTTAATTGTGGGTAATGGAAACCCACTCTGAGCCCACCCAAGCCCAATAAGCCTACTTCCAAGTTTTAATATCCAAGAATCCCCTGAAGAACCATTTTTAATCTCTAGGGCCAAGAACAAATATTCTCTGCCCAAGTCCTCTGTGAGATTTGTTCAACTTTAGCTTGAACAACATCAACAAATCTTGAAGCCAAACCTAACTTTAGT